ATATAACATTTGATTGCCACTTCTTACTTATAAAGATATGACAGCATAACCCCATAAAAACAACTTTGTACTATAGATCAGATTATGTGCCCAGAAAAGCAATTGCAACAGTAAATCTTGATCTATTGCGAATAGTCTATGATACAGGTCTTCGTTCTATCCCTAAACACTAGTAGTATTAAAGATTTCATTAGAGACCTTCCTTTGATTGTTTATTCTTAAGAGATGAGAAGGCAATATCTTTACCAACCAATTGGTTTCACTTCTGGGTCTGTTTGCTTATTTGTTAGTGTAAGTGATAGCAGTTTTGTCAGGCTCTCAAACAATTTTAAAAGTGATCCAGAAGCCTGGCTTCATACTAAGGAAACGGAGATGGCGGTGCAGGGGTCTCCATGTTTATCCAGACCCTCAGAACTTAGAGCAATAAATACATTCAGTCATTTATTTATAAATGAGTGACAGAATAGCCAATCCAAATAGAAACATTTTTTCAGCAATGAACCATAACACAGAGCCTTGTGTTAAGAAAATGAATATGAATATTTTAAATAGATGCCTAGAGAGTCCATTTGCTGTTTACATGTAGTGTGTTTACCACATTAGCAGTATCACATTTCTTTTCCTGTTTTCCTTCTAAGAACTAATGAAAGATAGCTTGCTCTTAGCTTTGACATGCTGCACATGCCATTATGTTGTTCTCTAAGAGCAACTAAATTCTCTTCAGTGTTCATGTGTGAGTCCTTTTTCACTCATTATTACATCAATGTGGATGAATACTATTTCTAGGAATTTGGTTATCATTGAACAGATCGCATATGTAAATGCAGATAATTCTTGAGCAATATAGTGAATATGACTTCACAAAAAAAAAAAAATCCGTATGTACTGTACACACCTTCCTGAATCCAAAACTCTCTCCTTATCCACAGTGGTTTGAAATCTCATGTAAAACAGTGGTAAATTTTTAAACATTAGGACATTAGCTGGCTGCTTCTTTAAATGTACCTGTATTGTCTGCCTGCTCCTTTTGTGGAGATGTGTTTTTGTATTGGATGTTTGGGCCAATGGGAGGCTTCAAGCTACAACATATTTTCCCAGTTTAAATATATTTAACATATGACAAACCCCAGACAAGGCTTTTAATATGTATAAAGAACTGCAGTGTTAGGTGGTTTATTTGCAAACCGTTTTCAATGTTGTCCATTTTTATGGCACCTTTAACAATATTCTTGTTTCCAAAGTACAAAAAAAAAATAGGTTAAATAATCTAGCCATAACTGAATGTCAAGCAATAAAACAAATGACTTTTGTGCATAGACTTAAAAAAAAATACAAATTTTAGACATCTGCATGTAAATGCAATCTCTTGTTTACTGCTTTCTTCAACTTGAGCAATTGATTCCTTATTTACTATTAACTTAAGAACTTGTAATGGCCTGTAAACATTTTCTCTCTTACTCTTCTTTCAAATTTACCTTTGTCGCTGCTTTTGAGTCATAATATTTAATGTTGTTCTGCACATCTCTATACAGTTAACTTTTTGGCTTTCATTCTGTATAGATAAGAAAATGTTATATTATAAACAGCCTACTCAGTGCAAATATTTATCTGTTTATCAAATCCACAATATGCTGTATAATACTGGTTTTACTATATAATCTATTTTAGACATAGCTGTTTAGAACTAGAGTGTGCTATTTTTGTGTTTTTCTGATGTGTGGTGCTAGATAAGTTACTTTTGTGAACAAAAAAAACCCCTTTTATTCCTAGACAATACCACCTTTGGGTCTTGTTAATTTCACTGAGTATAACTATATATTTGTATATATATACATATATATATATATATATCTCTAACTGTGCCCAACTGGCAGCTGTATCAGAGTGCTGGATTTGGGACACGCTTTTCTCTTTAAATACATAATATCATTATATAAATTATTCTAGAGTGTATTTAATTAGGATAAAATTACTTCCTTAGTATGGATATTTGACATCTGTAGGGTGAATTTGTTTATAAATATGGATATATGAAAACTTATTAGCATTTACTTTGTTTGCTACTTGGCTTTATACCATATCTCCTGAGCTGAAAAATAATTTTCCAGGCCTTCAAGATCCTAAAGAAACACTCTAGTTTAATGGAGTAATACTTTTTTTTTCCTTCCTAAGGAATTATATTATTGGCACCTGACAGGGTTGTGTACTTAGCTCCTACTATAGATAATAGGCATTTGTATAAAATATCCTTGGTGGCTTGATGGCAGAATAAACCTTTCCCCTCCTACCTGAGCCATGAGAAGGATGGAGACTAACACTGTCATGGCAGAACATGGGCCATAAAGCAAATTCAACGAGGGATGTTCTGTTTTAATATGACCTCAACCAGTTCCATGAACTGAGTGAAGGACCTTCATTTTAAGTCATTTAATAATGAGCTTAGTTAAACTCTTTCACCTGTTCTCCCAAGACCTATTGGCATTATTAAAAAGCAAAGTATATCAAATATCTAACTAAGGATGTAGTTAACCTTATTAAATATTGATTAGAATTGTTCTGTAATATTACTGAATTTGTAAGATCTTTAGCAAAGATTTTTGAGCAATTTATAAATATAGAGCAAATGTTTCTGTTTACTGCACTTTTTGTAACTGAAGGTGATAAATTCTCCAGCCATGGTTACTGGCTTCCATGCACTGCATATTTACCCACCATTCTAGACATTTTCCATTTTTATGGAAGAGTTGCTGTTACCTTAATTATAAATGCAATCATGTGGTTAATGAGAGCTAATGCTAATAGTTAACCTTTTAAAGTGAATTGGCTACAGTTTAGGGAGAAATCTCTTTTAACACAAATCACTTCATTCCTTATTGCTTCACTTAGAAAGAGATGGAAACTTTTTTTTTAAGCACCATTTAGTATCCTAAGCTTCCTGAAGCTAGAGATTGTATTTCTTTGTGTCCGCACAATGGCCAGCACATGTCAGCATTTGATAATTGTTAAATGACAACAAGCGTGCCCCAATTCAAACTCTTTTCCTGGGTTCTTACAGTAAATTTATAAAGTAAATCACGTCTTATGGTTAACACTTTTGTCTAAAACCAAGTATTAAATCCACATTTAAAAAGACCACATGAAATGCTGATTCTAATTGTGTGTAGGTCTTGAGGATTAAGCACACAAATTTCACAAAACTCTGTGAGTAACAAACAAACTCAGCCTTCTGTAAATATACATGCAAGTTGGGAAACAGTAATACTGTACCTATAAATATATGTCTGTTTTGTGTACAGTATGTAAAAATTACTTTTCTGCCACACTAAAGATGCAAGCCATTTATGGGTAGCCTAAAAATAGTATTGTACTAAAACTTTGCTAATGGTCTTTATTAGAGGATCATCCAACTTTTCACACACATTGGGTTTTCTTTTCAATTCACTCTTACAGTAAGTAGTCTGCTTATTTCCAGCTGTTTATTTTATTGAGTCCTGAATTTAAAAAAAAATATTTTGATTCATTTTGTAAATACAAGCTGTAAAAAAAAGAGAGATTTAATGTTGTCTTTTAAATACTCCAATTTTCATTCTAATATGAATGTTGTTATATTGTACTTAGAAACTGTACCTTTAATATTACATTACC